GAGCCCAGAAAGCCAAGGAACGTTTTCTTCAATACAGAAACAGCTCTGCAACATTCTGCCTCTTTAAAAACACCTCCTTTTTGGTGTCATTGTTTTTGTCTCTTAAAGAAAAAGTATTTATTTCTGGGATAGACATATAAAACATAACTACCTGCTCTTCTGCAATGAACCTGTGTGTTCCTAGTATTCAGTACCAATTCAAAGAAAGGCAAATGTCCTAGTATCTTGCATTTTTATTTAAGGAGGGCTGGACGGTTTTCACAATGACAGGAGGACAATCCAAATCATGTATTTTTACTAGTTTTCAGGGCAGAGTTATTTGGTAACAGTGATCCTTGTGTCTCCCATGGTTCTGTGTACTCAAAATCAATTGTCTTTATTTTAATAATTAAACTTAACTGACAGCGGATGACAGCTGCAATTGGTCTCACTTGTGAGGCAGGCTCTGCTTCTAGTACCACCATGGATTCACTCTGGCTGGGTGTCAGAAATTTCAGTCAGTGTTCACGTTTTCAAGCAAATGTTTCTCGTGTGTGTGTGTGTGTGTGTGTGTGTGTGTGTGTGTGTGTGTGTGTTGCCACATCTTCTCACCTCAGACACCACTATCTTTAAAAGGATTGTAAAATGCAGATCTCCATAGTGGATAGATGCTAAGGATTTTCTTGTGAGGTATCTCTGTTCACATGTTGTCTCCTTCAGCCAAGAATTGATCAGCATTTTCTGTATTGGGTCAAATAGTACACACTCATGGCATGTTGACCATATGGATTCAGTTGAAACTACTGAATTCTTCTTGTAATTTGAAAGCAGCCACAATGAGTGGCTATAACTTTAGTTTAATAAAATTGTATTTACAAATACCAACAGCAGGAAGCATTTGGTCTACAAGTTCCTTTCAATAACATAACATAACATAATAAACATCAATTTGCTTAAATGATTTTATTCCCTTTCAGTTAGTAAAAGTGAAAAGTATTAGTACTGATGGAAAGAGAATGGATGCGGTGTAAGAATGTAAAATTTAGAGTGACTTATCACTGAGAAATCCACAGGCAATTGACATAAATACGAGTGAGAGATGCACATGGCAGCTGATATATATATATATTTAAATGTATTATATGTTAATGCAATATATTTATTTTAAGTATATCACATATATTAATATATTTATATAAATATATACTAGATTTAATTAAATGTAATATATATAAAGTGTTTTTGCTTTGTTTTGTTTTGTTTTACTTAGGCTTGCTTTAATATTCTGGTAAAGGTGTCATGACCTGGGGAAGTCAGGTGTGATTCTCCAGCCCTGTGAAGCTCCAGTGTAAATTTAGAGCTTGCCTTAATATCAGGATTGAGAAGGGTAAAAATCAGGATTTTACACTTTCCATTAGATGCCAAACCAGAGCATTTGGACCTGATTTTGTTGGCGATTTTGATTGCATAGAAATAGTCCTAATTTGGCTCTTGATAGGCAATTACCACAAGAAGTGAAAAAGAAAGTAAATCTGGTTACTCAATTGGCAGAGACAGCAAGGCTGGATAATTTATGAAAAAAGCAGAAACATACCTAAAAGACTCACTTTTTTAGTTAATAATTGCATCTCTCTGCCTGAATTATGAAGGTAATTTTCTCAAGGATTTACTTCACGTTCCCGCATGGGCAGAACACGTTAGTACCATTCAATTCAGGAGTCCACATGGAAGTAGAATCTTTGCATCAATTCATGCCTGGGTAACTGGCATCACCAAACTATAATAGATACATCTTGCTTCTGTACATCTTTAACAGGTACAGGATTTATTAAGTAAAAACCTAGAGGGGAGATAAACTATAGCACTGTACATTGTGGTTTGGATGCTAAAGCATGGTTACAGTCAACCTTTCCCATGGCTATGGGTACAGCTTTCCTTTCTGCTCAGGAAGGAATCACCTCACTCTATTACCTTCTAACTTCTAAAATGTGGAATATTTTTTTTCAACAAGAACAAACTGGTTTGGACATGCTGTCTAAAATATCTTTGCCATATTTGTCTAAGATCACAGGGTCTACACTTTCCACTCCTCAATTATTATTTTTTTTCTCTCTTAAATGGTTCTGTTAAGAGGAAAACCAAGTTAAACTATTTGGAAGTTGTATGCGTGCATAAAATCTGACACCGGGTACTTAGTTAGGTTTTGTGATGTACGACTATGTAAGCATTGAGAGTTGAGCTCCGATTTAGCATGCAGGGTATGAGGATAGGTCTCCACACACAAAGATGGCTGTTACTAGATGGTATTACTCATGCATAACATGAAAAGGCAATGGAACAGACACAGACAGCTGTTTTCCTTTGCAAACAGCTGTTAAGAGTGAGGGCTGGCTGGGCTGGTGGGGCTGGCGGGACTTGGGGGTTGGTGGAGCTGGTGGGGCTGGTGGGGCTAGTGACAAGGCTCAGTGGGTGAAGAGCTCATTGCTTAACATCTTCAGACCCCAGTTCAGATCCCTGTAATCTACTTCAAAAGCCGGGATGACTGTGTGTGCTAATAACTCCAGTGTTGCAGAGGCTAAGAGAGGGGACTCACTGGCCAGGCCATCTAATCAATTGATGAGTTCCAGTCTCAGTGAGAAAATGTTTCTCAGTGGTAATCAATAATTATAATAATAATAATAGTAATAATAATAATAAAACTAAGGTAGAAAGTGATAGAGAAAGAAATTTTACTAACATCTCACTTCAGATGTGTACACACACACACACACACACACACACACACACACACACACAGAATGAAGGATGGAGCAAAAGGAAGAATATGTTACATAACAACAACCAGTCCTCCACATACATCTTAGTAGAGGTAAGACACTATTTTCTGAATTGTAGAAAATGTCATTATTCAAGGAGACAGTTTTTCACTTCATTGTATATTCAAAGGATTGCTGGTACTTTACCTTGAGTCAGTGAAGGTCTCTAGCTATTGAAATTTATGGACATAAGCATGGGAAAATGGCTTTCTAGTAGAGGAGCATACATCATTTTTGCATGTTTTTAGGTGTTTTGAAAGCTAGGATACCCAAGTTCTGTTTCCCTCCCTGCACCGAATTCTTCAACAAAATGCCTGAAACAGTCACAGCAGAACCATCACTTCAAAGCAACCTTCTCTCAATTCTTTACAAAGATTAAAATTCATGGCCAGGGTAGTTAGTATTCTGTCACTCAGTGCTGATGGGGTCCCTAAAGCCAAATACAAACACAGGCTCCAAAAGCTATTTTCTTGGTGTGGGGGTGAGATACTGGGGCCTAGCCCAGGGAGACACAGGGAGAGTTCAGTAGGTTCTTTAACAAAAGCCTGTCAGATATGATTTAGTGAGCTGGCTTGCACTGGGCAAGCCTCACTACACACTCTGAATCTCAGCGTTCCACACTGGCAGACATTTCCATAATCCAGCAAAGACATAGAGTTGTAGGCAGTCCATAAAAGTGGTGTCTTTTGTTTAGTCCTAACAGGGGTCTCTCAACGGGGAGTCAAATCAATGAAGCGCTAAATATAATCAGAGGTCAATTTCCCTTTTGGTATCAACATGAGTACAGAAACGCTTCTTGTTTTCCTGAGTCTGCCAAAAGTCCAAATGCCTTCCGGTGGCTAGAAGGGAAGACCAAGAGAATTTAAGAATATTTTTAGATTAATTAGTTCAGGCACTTCATTTTGAGACAGGGTTAGCACATATTTCATCTGTTTAAGGAATCACAGGAGCCTGGGTGAGATTGTTTTTCCAGATATAGTGTGAAGTAGCCTGGGAGAGAGGGGATAAACTTGATGAAGTCCACTTTTAGAAAAGAAGTTGTATTAGAGGGCAAAGAAAGGGGGAATTAAAGTACAAGCTAGGACCATATCCAAATATGTAGGGTGGTTCCTAAGCATGCTGGCACAACTGCCCAGTTGACTGTTAACATGGCTGAGACTGACGGCCAGCTCTGGAAGCTGAACTTGATTGCTCATAAGCTCTGCTGTGTCTGGGTGTGGTGCTGTGTCTGTGGGAGACTACAGCTCTAGTGATGTTTGTCAACACAATGGATTATTTTCATTGCTGAAATATAACATTCTGATGAGGAAGTGTTGACTATGAGGTGGTTAAGTTGTAAATATTTCGTGGTGTTTTGGAGTATGGTAGGGTGAATTTTAATTAGGTTATATCCTCTGGAATACCACTACAACATGTGTGATTGATCCGTAATATATGTGTGTGTGTGTACATATGTATATTTCTTATGAAAAGATGTTTGCATATGCTAATATGTGAATACCTTTTTATTTCTAAAAGATTTCTTCATAAGCTATAGATAGTCTATATTCATCTGAAATTACCTGTGGCATCCCCCCATGATCTTTTCAAGTGAAGATAATATTTTTTTGAATTTTTTTTTTTTTTTTTT